GGCTTACTGACAGTCAATCAGAGTTAAAAGTAGGTTTTTAAAATTTTCTTAGCATCACATTCTAAAGTATCTTACATGGGACTTTATACATAGGGCATTGTATGACACAGAAGACAATATCCTTGATAATATCATATAGATACACAGTTTTAGGTCCATTACAACGTTAACTTCTAAAGCTTCAGAAGAATTTCTTAGATCATTTTAATCCCTCTACCTAAAGGGAATCTGTTTGCTGCAGCCCTATTTAAAACATTTTATCATGGAAAATAATATAGTACAGTACAGTGCATTCTGGAGATGAAGCACTGTAAACAGTTAAAAAAAAAAAAAGCAGACACCCAACTTGCAATACTATGTAGTTCTACAAGCTACTGAAAGCAGCAGTATATAACCACCTGTACTGACTGAGCTCAAAAAACACATGGAATTGGTTCTAAACTATATGGAAAAAGACTTGGGCAGCAAGGAATCATTAAGGAGAGGCACCTGCTGCCTTACCCCAAGTAGTTCTCCTGCAATCTGCAATGGGAATTAAAAGGCTGGTAAATATCTTTGAGTATCTAATCTACCTATACACTCATCCCATTTTCAAAGATCTCTATGTAGATCTCTAGTCTGGCTCACTCTTATCTTAAATCTTAGCACCTACAGTCTAGGACTAATTCCTTTTATTTTATCAATGAAGATGATGAATCACTACTTTCTTGAATCACTTCTCTCCTGTAAATAATTATACATACTTGGAAAGTAACTAGACTTCTTTCATTAAAAACCATGTTTATTTAAAAATTTCCCCTAACATCTCACTGAATTTTAGACCTTTTTTTCCTGGGAGATCTCTGATCACTTTCAAAATATCTTCCAACAATTTGTACTTTAAATATGAGCTTTGCAAATACCCAGGATCTAAATTATTTCATTTTTCAAACTTTAATAGTTTTACTCATAATGAACAATACACTAATGGAAGCCAATTATTTAAAACAATGGTCTACTTATTGAGATAACTGATCTCAATGTATATTCTAGTGGGAAAACAGTCAATAAGCCAGTAAACAAGATCTCAGATCAAAGTAAGTGGTGAGGAAAAAAAAAGTGGCGGGTAGGAAGCCCTTTTGAGCGCTTGACCTGAAACCTCTAGAAGGCAAGCAGGCTCACAAAGACATGAAAAGAATATCCCAAGCAATTTTAGGCCAGAGGTTTAACAAGTTATTCTGCTATATATTGATAAACGTTCCTTGTGAATTATGCAACTCTGCACTGTTCCCTACTGAATCTTGTTTCTATTTTGAAAATTCTTTTTTAAAAGCTTTTCATTACCCCCTTAATTACACATAAATGTAATGCATCCATTAATATACATAAATATAAAGCACATCTTCTAATTTAAACAAGTATTTCCTAGTAATATTAGCTAAAATAGTTTAGGTGTTTCTAACAAATACTACTAGTTAAAAAAAAATTGAGAAAATCTTTTATTGGATAGGCCTGAATGAGTTTTCTAGAAAACAATTTGGTAGATACTTCACAGTAAAACTGGCTGAAAGGCAGTGTGACCCTCTCAGAAGACAATGGGAATAGCAGGATGCACCACTGTAGTAGTAAAAGAGCCCAGCAGAAAAGCTGATAGGTCACATATGTGGAATGGAGACACAAACTAGCTAGCAAAGCTGGCAAACCTTCCTAGCAGACTAGCTCTTTGAGACATACTGCCACCACCTGGGCAATAGGCAATTTTGAAGTACAAAGGTATTTTAGTTATTTTCAGTTAACAATTATAGAGTCAAAAACATACTTTCATTTTATGAAATCAACATGTTTGCCAAATCTTTGAACATTAGAAGAGCAGGGAGTTTTCCTTAGAATTCTGAAGTACTTTTAAAGCCTCTAGCTCCCTATTGTAAAATGGGTCCAGCAATATCCTGTAAGGTGGTTTAGTCTTAGAATTAGTGATAACAGATGAGAAGCACTCAGTACAGTACCTGGTACATAGCAAGTACTCAATAAATTACTTTAAAGAATTTTTTTAAATGACCTTTCAAATACAGTGGACCTTTGACTTACGAAGTTGATCAGTTCCTGAGAGCTGGTTGTAACTCAAGTGGGTTGTAAGTCACTAAGGATGAGATCTGGATGTTTACCTGGTACATGCTATAGATAACAACAGGCAGATGAATCTTCCATTAACATATTTAACCCAAGTTGTTTGTGTGTCAGGCCAGTTGTAACTTGAGGATCCACTGTATCACTAAAACCTGATTACTTCTCAAAGTTACATAAATATGCTTATTAATAAATGTATCTGCATCATGTTTCAATGGAAGGAAAAAATTTCATGAACTAAAACTAAGGAAGAAATCAATTCCATCAAAATAAGTCAAAAATAGGAATAGTTACTGCAGGGAAAGAAGCACATGTACAGGCAAAAGAATTCTGTCTTCTAATCTAGAGTAAATAATTATATTATTACAACAGTAACTTATTCAGATTTCACTCATACACAATTTTAACATGAGTTAAAGAGGAATGTATTTGTATCTACAAACAGAAAAGAATTTTAAAACAAATGGTACAAGACTGCCAGGCTTTACCTTCTCAAGCAAAAAAACCTTAGAATTTGTAATGCTCCATTTATAAAATATAATTGCAATAGAGTACACTTGTGCTAATCAGGCCAGTGGCTTAATAGGCTACACAGAAATTACTCTTATGCAAAGTCAGAACCTACTTAGTTAACAATGTAAGGTTTAGTTAATTTGGTTAAATTTGCAAAAGATTTAAAAATAAAGCAGAATTTATTTTCTTGTCATTATAAATGGTATTCTGAAAGTCATTTCAGAGAATAAATAACAGGTTAAGGATCTTTTTGAATAAATAAGACTTTAAGAAAACCATCAATGATGTGCCTACTAAATATACTTTACTATAATGCTGTTTTTTGAAGTTTCAGTTGGACAAATGGTCCAATTCAGTCTACTTTAGATGTTTAAAGACGAAAAGATGCTAGGGAGGTCACTTAGCATGCTTTCTACACAGAAAAGAGGGAATAGGCTCCCAGAGATTTATCAGAGTACTGTATATAGAGATCAGTATTGAGACTCACAAGCTGAGACTCTTCAATATAGAACGGAGTCCACAGTATCATAACCAATCTTAACAACACCTTTTGTTAAGGTAATATAGACTGCAATAAGGAGCTCAGCCATGGCAACTCCTAAGCTACTGCTGGGCTTGCCACTTGACTGAAAAGGAGACCACGAAGACATGGTCTACTAGATTATAGCCAACGAGCTACAGAGAGATGTTCTCTTTTTACGCCTTTAATCAGAAATACAGCAGAGGAACTAACTACTAGGAGGTAGTACATGGGAGAGTATCCAAGATCAAAAGAAAAACCTACACACTGGCCTCTGGAGTGAGGGACATTAAAATAATAAAATTCTGACAACATCCTGGAGTCACCGTTTGGGGAACTTTTATCAGTTTATCCTAGCAAGCAAAGTTTTCAGCGACACAATCCAGTGACTGGGTCTGCTTTTTTTGACTACCATGGACATAGGCTAGATCTAAACTATCATCTGGATTTGCAAACAAGAATAAGAAAACAACTGCTGGTAATACAACATACAAACATTAACATATGTCCAACGATTCTTAGATTATCTGCCAAGGCCTGTTCCTTGGTAAACAATAGTTACTGTTGTTATACCTAGTTATACATGTTGCAACTTGCTCCTCAAAGAGAACATTCTATAGTCTTTCAGAATTAAAAACCTGCTTTATTTGGCACACAACAGTGAAGAGGTTTTGCAACATTTGTCAGAGGCTGTCAAACAGAGCAAGCAGTTCAGTGTAAGCAATCGCAAAATTTGAGCACCAACCAACTAGAACTAATCTTTTAGTTCCTGTAGAAGACATTATTCCCTCACCCTTTCTGTTTGTTGACTTTTGCATCCTTTTATTTGTGTAATGAAAAGAACAAGTATCTCTGTGGGAACTCTATGGCCTGCCAGTTTAATTATTTATCGAGTTTACTTTGGGCAAGTATCGACCATTCTTTTGTGAAATGAGTTAGACCCTTAAATCAAAAACAAACAACAAAAAAACCGACACCCCCCCCCCGGGCAGCATTTCCCCCTAGTAATCAGGTTCAGCGGATTCACCCCGATTCTGCTGCTGCTTCGCCTCCCACGCAGGACGATTTAACTTATCCAACTACAAGAGACGTAGGACGTGGGTGTGAACCACAGTGAACTCCCCAGAGTCCTTCAGGAACCGTTCTGTGAGCCTCGCCCTGACTTCGGGTGGTACGCGGGTGCCACCTCCTTGCCGCGCCAACCCCAACCACCGACGCCCGGCTTCAGCGGGGTGCTTCCCCCGGACTGGGGCAAGGGCGGAGCTTCGAGCAGATTCGGCCGCAACGGGCCCCCTCGTCCACCCTTTAGCCCCACTGGAGGCACGGGCCTCCGACTCAAGCCCCGGACCCCGGCGCCGCTGCTCGCTCCGCGCGGCCTCACCTGCCGCTCCCCGGAGGTCTCCGCACCGCCCTCCCCGCGCCCCCACACCCCTGTCCAGAGCGTCGCGGACCCAGGGCCCACCCAGAGACAGCGCAGCCGGAAACTGGCCCCGTGACTTCCTCACGCCAGTCTCCTAGAGGGCCCGCTCGTGGGCGGGGCGCGAGGACAGCGACTTCCGCTTTCCTGCTTCCGGTGTGTGGTGAGTTGGGAGTGGGAGTCGGATCCTGTGGGCTGCGATGTCGGGGGGCTGCTGGTCGCTGCGCTTGGCCGAGGCGCAGTTGTGGCGGCCCGGTCCGCCTTTTCAGGGGCCCTTATTCTGGGAATCTTCCCTGGCCCGCGGCCACGAGGGCTGAGCCTGCCGGGACGAGGGACAGGGGCGAACGTGGCCTCTGCGCTCGCAGCTCTGTCTGGGGAAGGGAAGAAGAGTGAGCGAGGTGGGGTGGGTGGGGTGAGAAAGGGGGGAAGGATGAAGTGGCTGGCCGTCTAGGACCACTGGCGGCTGCTTTAGGCTCCTCGCGGGGCTGGTGGGTAGATGAGCACTGTGGAGCTTTTTGGGAGGAAGAGCAGTATTTATTCCCAAAAGTGTGGGAGGCACGGGGGTCTGGGTTCGAAGCAACGAAAGTGTGGAGTGTGGACTGTAATTATTTCTAGTAATGCTTAAAACAGCAAACCAGTTCCTGCGGTCCCGCTTTACTTTTTTGCAAAGTTGTTTTGCTTCTTTCTGAAACTTGTATTAGTTCTTACTGAGCTGGAGAAGAGTGATCGATCTCAGCGTTACCTGGTTCCAGCTGTGGGTGGGAGCTTTATGAAGTCGGGGGCTAGGATGTTTAACGTCTTAGGCATTTCGGTGAGTCTTCAGTTGAAAGCAGGGCATGCTTTTTAAAAAACTTTATTTTTTTATGTGAAGAAACGGAAAAGATGTTAAAAACTAGTGAGTTTTCTTGAGGTGATGGGATTGTAGATAATTTAAAATTTGTTTTGTTTATAAAGGACACGAATTTTATACTAGACAAACCTTCAAGGAGTAAAACCAAGTGTTTGATTTTGTAATGATATACCTAATCCAATAAATACATGAATGAATGTCAGGGTTTTTTAGGATAGGAAATTCAAGCTCTGCTGATGTATATGATGTGTAATATGTGAGCCACCATATCTTTTTATGTCAGGGAATTTGATAAATTTATTATCGAAATAAGTAATATAGAAAATACCTTTCAATAATTAATTATTTTCTTACAGGACGCTTGCAGTTCTGGTAAACTCAAGTTAGAAATAGGTATTAGAAGCTTGTAATAACCAATTTTACATGTCATTTATAGATTCCATATATTGAATTTAGAAATTTCCTTTTTAAAAATTTCTTAGTTATCCTCAAAGTTGTGAATTAATGGTCTTTTATCCTTTCCCACTCGTCCACTATGTAGAATTTGAACTTCTCAAGAGTGTTTTAGAACTAAAGAATAGGGGTCATCTGAAATTTATTGGCTCCCAGGACAAAGTTGGAGATTACTGCTCAAGCATAAGGTAAGTGATTTTTTTTTTTTTTGTAATCCCAGCTGAAATTTTAAGTGGTTGTATCTACACCCACTCCCTATCCAAGTATTCTTATTCTCTCTTTTGAATGGAGGCTGATACAAACATGAAAGGTAAGGAAGCCTTTCCAGCAAAATAGGAAATGTCACTCAAGTCCACACTATTCTTTTGCAAGACAGCCCTCCCACACCAACTCAAAAAAAAAAAAACATAACTCGTGGCACTTGTAATGGCTACTTCTTTTCATTTATTAAAATTATGTTTATTTCAGTACATGTCCTCAAAGCGGAAAGGGCATAAAGTAACACATCGCTTTTTGCTTATACCTCTTGGCATATAAATACAGATATCGTCATGAGTCCCTTTCCCTTCTCTTTCATTACTGGAAATAGCTACCTGTTTTCTCCCTTTTTCTGAGAGCATTTCTCACGTTCTGTGACTTGTCTTTTTACAACTTGAAATTTGATTTTTACTTTTGTTAATTAGTACTTAGTAATTATAAGGATATATCAACAAATGGCAAACAGGATTCAGCTGTTTCCTGAAATGAGTGTGTGTGGAATTCAAAGTTCTTGAAGTCTGTTGCTACAGTCTTGCATTTAGGAAGCCTGTGAGAAAGCATAGTCCTTATGATAGAGTCTAAATGGCTTTTACTTTTATCTTCTGTAAATTTACATTTTTTTAAGTGTCACTATTCTGTTTTCCTAGTTGAATTATTTTTTCCTTAGTGGAGATACTAGTCCTTATTAAAATGGTACTAATTAATATTTTTTAAAAAACCACTAATGAGTGATAATGGAATTCTGAGTTAACTGGTATATGATATAACTTTTTCATAATTTGATTAACCATATGATTTCCCTCCCTCTTCCCCCCTTCCCTATCCCAGTTTTCCTAAGACTGCTACAGAGATGTTTGATGTAAAGGCTTGGGCTGAATATGTTGTGGAATGGGCTGCAAAGGACCCATATGGTTTCCTTACGACAGTTATTTTGGCTCTTACTCCACTGTTCCTAGCAAGTGCCGTCCTGTCTTGGAAATTGGCCAAGATGATTGAAGCCCGGGAGAAGGAGCAAAAGAAGAAACAAAAACGTCAAGAAAATATTGCAAAAGCTAAACGACTGAAAAAAGATTGAAGGGATGAACAGGCTCTGCAAACAGAAAGAAGCCATTTGGAAAATTAGGCAGCTTTGGAAGGACCCCTGAGGTTTCTTTGGATTTCATGGAAGTTATTAATGTCCATACAGAAGAATCATTCTGGAATGTGACCTCAATACTGTACTAACTTTCAGGCCTGGGCACAGATGTTTGTTGGTGACCATTGGCAGTTATTATAAATTAGTATTTGATTATATTGGTTGAGTATCACTGATGCCTAACCCAGAATACTCCAAAATCCAAAACTTTATATGCACAGATGTGATGCCACAAGTACAAAATTCCCCAGCTGACCTCTCATGGGTCTTAGTCAAAATACAGATGCACTAAAAATGTATAAAATTTCTTCCAGCCTATATGAAACAAATGAATTTCCTAAAGATGTCTCATTATGTATATGCAAGTATTCCAAAATCTGAAAACATCTAAAACATTTCTGGTTCCAGGCATTTCAGAGAAGGAACATTCAACCTGTAGTACGAATTCTTTATCATTGACTTAGTAATTTGCCATTTTGTAGCTATGTTCTGAAATAAAAACATCCTGTGGAAACAAATGACTTTACATTATGAACTCTATTCAAACTGATTTAAAACAGGGACCTGTTCTCTACAAAGGATATTAAGAATGTTAAAGTCAGGCCGGGGATTTAGGTCAGTGGTTCTGCTGCTTGCCTTGTAAGTGCAAGGTCCTGAGTTTGCTCCCTGGTACCAAAAAAAAAGTTAAAGTCAAACTTGTCCTCCTTGAGGTGAAAGTTTGCTTGGGCTTAAAAGATACAGTATATTAATCACATCTTTTATCATTATTGCTTATTTCTTAGAATCATTCTGGCTTTTTCAAAGTGAAATAATATTAACAAGTACATCTATTCTGTATTTTTCTGATTTTAGCCTTTGAGACAGTAATTATCAAGACATTCTGCATTTTTAAAAATTTTTAAAAGAATTTTCTTATTTTGACTATGTACAGTACCACCTACTAGATATAATGATTTTTGTACCCAGAAACACTGCCACTGTCTTAGTGATGAGTTGTGGAGTAACACTATGATTTAAAACTTGCAGTAAAAATGCCAAACACTGCATTACCTTGGAAGCTGTTTTTGCTTGTGCTAAAACTGAAATAGTTAAAATATCACATAATTTGCTCATTATATAGGTAATGCTTTTGTTTTTATTCCATTTGTTTTATTTACGTGGTAATGATGTCCTGTACTTTTTGGTCAAACAGTTCGAGGTGAAAATTAAAACTTTTTTTTTTTTGGTACTGGGGATCGAACTCTGGTCCTTGGGCTTGCGCAGCAGGTGGCGAAACCACTGAGCTAAATCCCAGGCAACTAAAACATTTTTTTTTAAAGGAGCTCTTAAAGAGTTAACATTTAAGTCATACTTCATAAGTGGTAAAGGCCCAACATTTGGAAAAATTTGGTTGGGCATTGTAATTGCACAACAGGATAAATTATGTCAAAATAAGAATGTGCTACGGTTAGGTCCAGAACTAAAAGATCTTTCGATTAAGTAGTATAACCAGAACTTTTTACTATTAAACATGGCTTTTCTAAATGCATGGTCCAGTAATTTTATTTACTGCAGTATTTAATACCTTATTAATGTTTTCTGCACCTCTGATGATGAATTTTAAGTTACTGTGATTGTCCAACAGCTCTAATTTAAAAATGAAACTAGGTAGGAAATAAATTTGATACTTTTTTATAAGGAGGTCCTGAGTTTTTGTCTTTTTTGGGAGAGTAAGATGTGTAAATTAGACTTTTCAAAAGGTGGTGAATCTCAGTTGTAGCTAAACAATTCTAGAAGTTTGGGACAGTGTTTCAAACTTAAGAATTTAAGGCCTCTTGGGATGTTTACGGGTCAGTTTGAACAACAGTTTCTGCTATTATTGTTAGGTTCTGAGTTCTTACTTGATGGCAGTGCAGTCAACATACTGCAACTCTAGACACTGAAATAATGCAATTTTTAGTTACGAGTTATTCAGGTGATCTAGAATATGCTTTCATATTATTATTTAAATTAAAACTTGCTTATATAGAACTACTGGCCCCCATGGGTCTGCAGAGCTCATTTTAAGAAACTGGATTAAAATATATCAAATATATTTGAGTGTTTGTAGTCAAGCTATTCATGGAAAGAACTTATGTTTTGCTTTTCACATTTTAGAGTAAAAGTGTAGCAGAAGATAGTTATAATTTAGTTACTAAAGCAGAACCAATAAAAATTGGTTGTGATAATCTGAGTCTACAATTTGTGTTGTCTTAACACGTCCCAATTTTGTACTTTCTTGAAATAAGCTATTATCCAGCTTTTCTCAGCATTTTTTGAGCTTATACACATGAGATCAACAAAGTTTTACAATATTTGTATTTTTGTGTATGTTGGGGTATATAAAGTGCAGAATGCTGTGAGGTTTCGAATTCTTCAGAAAAATCCATCTTCTCACTGTAACACTGCAGTAATATTGTTGAAAGAATCCTGTTTATTATACAGAATACTTCTATCAAAAAAATGCCAACCTACTTAAGTATGCAGAAGTTCTAAGAACTAAATACAATTACATTTTATGGCTGGTTTTAGATTAAAAAAAGAAGCTATTCCAAGATCACTGTAACAAACATTTTCCAAAAAATAGAGGTTTGTGTGTAACATTTTGACCCATAGTGTCCATGTGAAACTTTAGCGTGACACTACTACCACATTGGATATGCTGTAAGGGCATTTTTTAAAAACTTACATTTTTTACAATGAGAAGCTAACTGAAAATAAGCTTAGGAAGCTGTGAGCTGGAAACCCAGTGCTGAAATAACAGTTCCTCGCCCCTTCCTTCCTTACACATGAAGTAAAGGAAAATGGCAAGGGGTACTTTACATCTACTCTAGTTCTCAATCAGGAAATCTGATCCTATTTAGGAATGATTGCTTTTATGTTTGCATTGGGTTATAGGGTCACTCTGACATATCTGGAATAAATAATAAGTTCTGCATTTCTCAAACATATTAAAAGAGTCCATGGTCTGATACTAAAATTTTTGGAAACAAGTGGAATTTACATCCAAGTTTCTTCCTGCAGCATTTTTTGGAGTCTTAATTTGATCACCATAGACTCCTTTATCCCCCCCTCCCCACAAAGAACATAAACACAGTTTGAAAAAGCCTGGTCTAAATAAATGCACGTTATATTTTAAAACAGTGTAGTTATTGAGATAGCATTTTAAAAAATTAATGTAGTTGTACTGATTCAAGGTTAATTACATCAAGAAATGACAAATCTATTAGTAAAAGTTGGAATTTAAAAAGATTACTTTCTCTGGTTTTGTTGGTTTTTCAGATGTCTAGGGCATAGCTAATTGGCTAGATTAAACCCAGAAGTCAGCAACATTTTTTGCACTTTAGAGTTTGTGTAATGGTAAGCCCATTATAGTAAAAATGAGAAGTGCATTATGCATGAATGACAGAGGCAGAGAACTCCAGGAAGGATTTAGCTCAAGAAAGTATTTGAGGGTGTATGTGTCTTTCTTTTCTCCCCTCTTCCTCTCCCCCTCACCCTATACTCACTCCCTCCTCTTCCCCGCCTCTCCCCCTCTTCCCCGCCTCTCCCTCTCTTTTTGTGCTGCAGATTGAATCCAGGGCCCTTCAGAAGCTGGGCAGTGTTCTACCACTGAGCTACATCCTTAGCCATTGAGATTCTTTAATTAAGTTAACAGGAATATTTTTACTTTTAGACTAAAAATTTAAAAAAAAAATATGCTTGAAGTCTATCTTGAAAAAGACCTTTTCATAGTAAGAAACTTTAAATGTCCCAACATAGGGATTTTTCAGATGAAATATGTTGGAAAAGCTAATATTTAATATTTTAATTCTACTTAGCATGTGTCTGGCCTAAAAGCTAGATATTTTTTAAAAAGTTGTTTAGAAAGGCAAATCTTAATTAGGCTAAGATTATAGTTCAACCACTGAGCTAAATCCCTGGCCCCAAAACTTCTTGAGTACAAATTTTTTTTTGGTACCGGAGATCTAACTCGGGTCCTTGCGCTTGCACAGCGGGCGACGAAACCACTGAGCTAAATCCCCGGCCCCTATAGTTCATTTTTTATGCAGGACATTTAAGTCTGTTCCAACACCACCTAATAGCATCATTAGTCATCCTACATACACTGGTCTGGAGGAAAGGAGTATGGATGAATTATTACAAACTTCATTCCCACCTCGCAAAATCACTTTGATAGTACACACTCTACTACATGATGAGCCGATACCATCATCCTACTTTAACATAAAGCATGTTCCCACAAGGATTCTGGGCTGATTTTCTTTTGCTACTTATATAGAACAGGTATTTTAAAATGAAAACTAAAAATTAAAATTAATGTAAATCATGTCATGCTAATGCTTAAAAACAAACTACATGGGAAATATTTGCAGAAGATGTATATAGAATGCAATTAATAAGCTAATAGGAATTTGGCAGTAGAAACACTAATGTGTTAAAACAAATTTCCCTTGCAATCCAGGATTTAAGAATATCTTTCTCTCAATTCACAACTCAATTGTACTATAAATTACAGTCCATTTTATATTATTTATATTACTTAGTGACTAGTTCCTTTTTTGCCCCTATGGTAAAATGTAATATTACCTTCTATAACAAGGTAGCAAGATGAAATGTTTAACCTGGTATTAGCAGGACTGCTGGAACACTGGAATTATCACTTAGGGACTTTTTTTGGTCATGCAGTAAGTATGTTATGGTGATTTGATCATTCAATTGCTTGTTTAAGTATAAATACCTTATAAAACAACTGTTTTTCTGAAGTGTATTTTTTAGGAAATTATAATTTTTACCTGATATTAAGTAAAAATTCTAACCCACAAGTTTTAAGAATCCATTGTTAATACTTAATCTAAGGATTTCCTCATTTTATTCAGAGCAAAAAAACGTGGTGAATATTTATTCATTTAGTGAATACTGAACACCTACTGTACGTCAAAGACTATTGTATCCCAAACACACTATATTAAAATAAAATCAAAACCTTACTTGTGTACTCCAGGAAACTTATGAGTTCTTTACAAGAACTTTTGTGTACAATCAATGACATCTGTCCACATTTTTCTTCAGTATACAAACCAGAGTCCCAACTATCAGTGAAATTGCCTTCTACTTTGAGAACTCTTCCCTGTTTTCTTCTTCAAACTTTCATACTGATGGAACGCTCTAGTTCTTCCATTTCTCTCTCTTTATTGTCCTTTCAGATATTTCTGATGGATTGTGTCATAAATCTTAATTTGTGTCTTCAAACTTCAGCCACAGTTCTACCATATTAGCTGTTGTCCCATATTATCATCAAGGTCTTTATAGTTTCTTTTATTAGTGAAGTTTTCTTTGCATTGACATGTTTTATCCAAGCTAATGTTTTTGTTTTGTTTTGTTTTGTTTTGTTTTGAGACAGGGTCTCACTATGGAGTTCAGGTTGGCCTCAAACTTGTGATCTTCCTGGCTCAGTCTCCTGGGTGCTAGGATTACAGGTGTGCACCACCATGCCCAGCCCAAGCTTTTATATATATATTGATTAGTTCTCTGAGATCTCAACAATAGTTCTCCAGAAATAAAAATCTTATTTTTTCATTTATTTTGTATATGTCATTTGGGAGAGCTCACTGCCCTTATTCTACCAAGATGTATTTGTGGGTGGTTCCTAAAGGATCCAAAGGATCCTACATGTACTGAGCATTTACAACTCCATGACATTCCTCCAGGTAGTAAACCAAGGAGGGAGATGGTGATTACTAAATTAAGTGTAGGATTTAAGTCTAAAAGAATTTAGGCTTCTGTAGTTCATAATCTCATGTTTCTTATGCAAACTAAAATGAGCTCTTAAGCTTAATAGGAATACAGGGCTATTATAAGTTCAGTAACTATAACTCATTTTTAACATTTTATTTGTTAAAATAGTCCTATCTGTATAAGTGAAATGATTTTTACCATCGCACAATTCATTGATTGTGGCTCTTGCCATCTTGTGGCACCCAGGACCCTGGCTGGAAGGTTTTCCCAGTGCTGGTGGGTGTTGCTGAGGGTTCTTCTTTTCTGAAGTATGGAGCAGAGGCGTGCCCTTTAACTTGAATTTGCACTGGTGGAGGCAAGTGTCCCTCGTTGGCCTCTTTACTGAGGAACTTTTCTTCTTTGTAAAAATTTTTGCTTTTTATCTCCATTTCTTCTCTGTGCTTTTCATTCTTTAGTATTTCCTGCACATAGACAAACATGGAAAAATTATTAAATTTCTAATTTAAAAACCTAAAAACAAAGTTTTAAAAACAAGCCAATAAAAATAAAATGGTAGGGCCAGGTGTGGTGGTATGTGCCTGTAATCCCAGCACTCAGAAGGCTGAGGGAGGAGGAGCTCCACAAGTTCAAGGCCAGCCTGGGCTATACAGCGAGTTCCAGGACAGCCTGAACTGCCTAGCAAGACCCTGTTTCAACACACACACACACACACACACACACACACACACACACACACACACGTGTATATACTTGATACTTGCTTTGGATTTAAATGTATAGATATGTGCACAAGTTTGAAAAAGCTATGATACATTACCATTAAAGTGTCCTTCATTTTATATTACAAAATAGAAAGGCATAAGGGACCACAGAATAGAAATATTTATTACCCAAAAGTAAAACAAACTATTTAACATGAGCAGAAGAGTGTAAGTTACTCTACCAAAGATTTTCTAAGCTTAACAGGTATTTTCTGCCTTAAAAGCCATCATCAGTGACTACTTTTCCACTGCACAGGAAGAGACATTGGAATGATCCTAGAAAGGGTCTCCCATGGGAACTAAAGCCTGAATGTTAAGGCCACCCTCTCCAGTGCCAGAGTTCACACACCCTACACAGGAGTTCCAGAGAGGAACTTTGCTGTTGGAAATGCTTCCTCAAATCACTGCAGCAACTGCTGTTCCTCAGGTTAGCTATTCTATCTAGAAAGAACTATACCAAAAATATAATAAATCTATTTTACTACTGAATTTTAATGAATATAAGATGGTCACATTTAAGAAGCATCATTATTATATGCACCACTAAAAAAAGACAAGCAGTTAAACTTTATACATATCTTTGATTTCAGTAATGTTAAAATTTGAAAAGATGTGCATGTTAAAATCATGTCCTTTATCTTTATCGAGACTTTGGTATTAATATTATTTTTCAATGAATGAAAAATTGCAGTGTTCTTTTTGCTTATCTGTATTTCCTGTCATTCCCTGAAGAAAAATGTGAAAAAATTAGAATGTTAATGTAACTTAGTACTTACAATATTGACAAAAGCAAGTTATCACATGATTTTTGAACTTCAACACTGTAAAAAAATGACACTTAAATAGCAACATCTGGGGCTGGGGATTTACCTCAGTGGTTCTGGCGCCTGCCTCGCAAGCACAAGTTCCCGAGTTCGATCCCTGGTTACCCCCCCAAAAAGCAATATCTTCCTATCTAAATGTATGATGCAACCTCTGTTTCTAAAGTGGATTTCAAACAGTACAGTCCTTTACAAAGGTAAGCATTGATATTTAAAATAACATAAAATAATAATTTGAAGTTAAAAGGAAAAAACTCTTGTGGTTATAGTGTTACAGACACTGAGTTTTAAATGTGAAGATCAGCCCATCTACTGAAATTTCCTCCTGAAATACATATTTCTTTCTTGGAATTTTTACAATTTTTAGAGCAATTCTCTATGAGTAGTTTATTTAATAACCACAGTAACTATAAGTCTAGGGGTAGTTGTTACAGATGAGGGTGAAAGTAGAGAAATCAGGCTTTGCCTTTCCTACATCATACAGAATTTTTCAACGAGGCCATTTTACACAAAGGAAATCCTTCATTATATTAATGGAAATAATGGAAGTAAACAAAAATACTTTTTTTGTATTTCCATAGACAAGTTTCTGGGTCTTTTTGGGAACATGATCCTTTTTTTTTGGTACTGGGGATTGAACTCAGGAGCTTGCGCTTGCAGGGCAGGCGGCGGAACCACTGAGCTAAATCCTAGGCCCCTGGAACATGATCTTTTGAGAAGAATGTTAAGGTTCAGGACCAGGTCAAATCTATACTAGTACCTGGTCTCAAGTACCAAAAAGCTACTCTGAAGTTGGTAAAGAGCTTGCTTGGTTTTAGGATAGTATCAGACACATCACCTGAAGCTGCACCAATGCCTACTTTATTTACTTCACCTCTGTTCACGCAGTCATACAGTTGATATACACTGATAACTTCAGAGTGAAAGGAAATAGAGCTTGGGGATGTGGCTCAGTGATAGAGCACTTGTCTGTCACACGCAAGGCCCTGGGTTCAATCCCTAGCACCTCAAAAAAGAAAAAGAAAAAAACAAGCAGAGATCTATTCTCTTGCCTTCATATATTTTTTAACATTAACTCTTCCAAGTCAGTCTCTTATAACAGCTATTTAGGCCAATGAAAAGCCAGTCTGAATAAGTTAATTATTTTGGCATGATGATGGATTAAACATTGCTGAGTTGAATAACATGGAGAGTATAATTTTTCCTAGAAAAATTATTTTACATTTTTAACTAATTGTTACCAGGCAGATCCCTGCTAACAACTTCCAGAAAAATTATACAGAATACAAATCTAGTTTTGTGAATACCTGGAATTTAAATTAAGAATTTAAGTAGGAATTTCAGACTCTTAAACTATCTCTTAAGAAAGTACTGTATTGTGGAAATTACCAATTTTTTTGTCCTGATATGATCATCAATTAACAGTATATTCCAGTGCATGTGTAGGGACAAACTAAAAGCAAGGTCTTTCTTCATAGTTTATATTTTAAAAACACATTCTTATTTATTATCTTACTTGCTATTTTTCTTCTTGTCAAATATTTTTCTCTATCTATAAAAAGATGATTCTGTGTTATTTTATCCCTTGCACTATGATTTACTTAACAAGTACCCCGACCATTTTTAATATTTCACTTCTTTACTTAAAAACTAACATTGTAATCAATCATCCATGTAGATAATTCTTAGACTCAGGATTCCAATCCCAAATCAACCTTTTTTCTAGCTGTGTGTCACCAAAGATGCCACGTCATGTTTTCAGTCTTAGTTTCATTATATGAAAAGGGAAATAAAGTTAATTCATTAATAGTTTTATATTTCTTAAGATTGCTGACTATGTGCTGCAAGATGATTATGCTTTTATAAAATTATGGCACCAAACGAAGTAACATTTTGCTCCATAGGTTGATAGATCTATATACATTACAGATTCTTGCATCTTCTAATGTAAGCCAAACATTACCATTGGTGTAATATATGAAAATATTAATCTTTTTATTTGTGACTGTGTATATATAAATATTAACACCTCAAATACTCATAACTATACTCTTAACATTGTTAGATCCTCTGAAACCTTCTCAATAGTGGTTAGGTACATGGGCTCTGAAGCCAGATGACTACTTATAAATCCCAGATTTTTGGGGGGGGGGTACCAGGGATCAAACTTGGGACCTTGTGTTTGTGAGGCAGACAGCAGAACCACTGAACTAAATCCCCGGCCCTATAAATCCCAGTTTTGTCATTCACCAGCTGTGTGACCCAGGGAATGTTACTTAACCTCTCTATGTCTCAGTTTCCGGATGTGTAAAATGGAGATAACAACACTGTCTCAATGGGCATCTGTAAGTGTAAGTACAACAGAAGAAGCAATAGGTATATTTCAAAGTAGTAATTCATTATTCCATTCCATTAAAAAATAAGCATACCAAACTTCTACTCATTCTGCTTTGAAATGAGGAGAAGTGTCAATAAAATGTCATCTACTAGTTTTAGGCCAAGATGGAATAACCAGTATCAAACTAGTACTGCTTTCATAAAACAACTAGAGAACTGGGCAAAATGTATTAAACTTTTCAATGGGTACGGCAGGACTGTGATCCCTGAGAGGAAAGAAAAAAGATGGGATAAGCCCTAGGTCACCTCAGCTTTCTGTGTGGAGGTATATTATGGGCTGCTGCACAAGGTGGGGGAAACCAAGCAGAGGATGGGGGTCCCACGAACCTGAAGTAATAGAGATGGTTGTTTACAAAGGCTGAGGAAGATGAAATATGTTGGGTAGAATGCCAGAATACACCCAGAAAGTTCTAGAAATCTGCATTCAGGTCCACTTGAGTATTCTAGCTGAATATTAAGCTGTACATGTGTAAGGTGAGGTTACTTACACAAGGCCAGGAAGGACAACTTCTGGCTAAAGAATACTGGTGAGCTATAAGCTGAACAGCTCCTGGAGTTTGCACTGGACTAAGAGATGTTCAAGTTCTAGTCAGCCAGAGATCTCACTAAACACCAGGGGCATTCAGTATAAAGACCTCAGAAAGGTCATTCTGTAAGAGTAGGCTGGCATAAGAGAGTTCACTGTATACCTATGTTGTCCCCATATTGGAGCCACAAGCCTGATATTATTTAACTTCTTTAAAATAAAAATTAAAAATACAGTTTCTCTATTGTATTAGCCATATTTGAAGTATTTAACAGCCAACTATTGTAAAGCATAGAAACAACACTTTTCTATCGCTGTAGAAACTTCTACTGGACTGCACTGTCTTACATCCACCCTAACAAAAAATAAGCTTCCAAGTTTGAGTTGATTCACCTATCAATTAATGATCCTCTAGATCAAAACTCAATCAATACAGACCCAGAAATGACTGAAATGAGTGAATTAATAAATAAGAACTTTAACATAGCTACTATAAAAGTGTTCAAAGATCTAAAGGAAAAATGATCATAAAGAAGAAAGAAATGAAAATTATTGAAAAGAACCAAGTGGAACTTCAGAGGTGAAAAACGATTAATGGTGTGCTTAACAGCAGATTAGACACTGCAGAAGAAAAGAAGTGAATCTGAAAACAAGGCAACGGAAAATATACAAACTGAAGCAAGAGTTGTTTTTTTTTAAGCTTAAAAAGTGAACAGTTTCAGTGAGCTGTGGTACAATATCGAGTAGTCTAACATACAGGTGACTGGAGTCACAAAAGAATAAATAATAACTAAAAATATCCAAACAGGTAAAAATAAAAATCTGCATATATAAGAAGCTCAACAGACCCTAAACAGGATAATCTTAAAACCAAATTACATCAAAATCAAACTGATAAAAACTAATGATAAAGAGAAAATTTGAAAATAAAAAAACTCCACACAGAAAAACTACAT